TACACTTAATATACACTATGTACACTAATATACACTATGTACACTAATATACACACTATGTACACTAATGTACACTAATATACACTAATCCGAAAACAATAGATGACTTTACATTCATTACAAAAAAATCAAAAAAAATCATCTAGACGCCCAAATCCCCGTCTTTTCATTATATTATTATCTACCAATTCACGATTTCTTATTGACATGAGTTTTTACGTCACTGTCATACTTATTTATATAAGTAATGCTCGTTTTATACGTTCCCGCATCTTATGATGCAAATGATGTGATGATCGTATGTTTTTTATTCAGAATGTGGACTTTTATTGAATTTGGTACAACTACTTCCTTTGGTATACATTTTGTTATCGTTTATATGTACAGGATTTTCGTTTCATATTTCACGCTTTACTTTAGGTCCCTGTTACTGTTGATCTGTTTTTACCTGGAATAATGAATCCTTTTTTGTAGTTTTATTCAACGTATCCCTGCTCTCTTATGTAATATTACAATTACACTTTTAACTATTTTAGTAATCGTCTACTTTTGTAAAAGTCTAGTCGAGTGATTTTACCTTGATATGCTATTTTTGTTAAGATTAAAATATCAAAGCTAACTCTTTTTTCACTTTTAACTACAATTGTTTTATCAAACACGTTGTTGTCCATCTTTGCTTTTCTCCCTGTTGAATCTACTGAATCTGCTGAATCTTTCTGAAACCTCCTGCTGAATGATATAATTTATGCCATACCCCATGAAATGTGACTTTATGTGGCGCTGTACGACTGTATAAGATAGCGATAGTGGCTAGTGAAGTCATTAAAGTCATCATTGTATTTATCGTTATATTTTTAGTTCTTTGACATCCAATGGAATAAGCCAAATCTTTCTGCCATCAACTTTAAAATAGTTAACAAGGGTAATGGCGTTTGTATTACTACTAAACGTATTGACGACATATATTACTTTATATTGACTATTTACTTGATATTTACATTCACGCAATGTTTATTTATGATGGTTATGGTAACGATGGGTAACAATAACGGTTTCAATGCATAATTCATTTACGTGAGTACATAGTCATAAGATTCATCATGAGTTAAATTTTAAAAAAAAAAAAAATTATCGTATTTTTATAATATTGACTATGGTTTGTCCATTTTTTAATATTTGAAACTTTTTTAAAACTTAATTCATTAAAACAATCCAAGTCAAATGTAGTTAAATGAATGTGTTTCAAGTTATTATTCTACATATAAAATTTTCAATAATCTTAGTTTTAAAAAAAAAAAAATTTTTTAGGTTTTAAAATACCTATAATATTTATAATATATATTTATAAATATTAATAGGCTTTTAATATAAATAATGTATCGGTATATAAAAACTTTAATATCTTTAATATATAGATTAGATCCCCAGAAAGTGCGTATATGCTTAATAATCAAGTTATGCGTAATATTTACTTGTTTAATGTATGTTTGAGTCTAACAGAATCCGGAATTAGTCGATCGAATGCCGCCAAGAAAAAACCATATCGATATTAGAAATAAAACACTTCAATAATATAAAGTAATTTAAAGCCGAGTTGCAATTTAAGAATGACGACAGTCTTCAAAAAATGTTGGTTAAAAAAAAAAGATCATAGATCCCTGAACAAATAACGATAAGTGTAAATAATGTGTAAATTAATAATTCCGTAATTCCGTAATTCCGTAATTCCGTAATTCCGTAGATTTTTATCAGAATATAGTTGTTACACAAGTCGAAACGTCATAACCCGGGTCATCGTTTTTCGACCCGGGTAACAACGCTAATCCAAATCTACAAGTGTTTGTTTTTCTTTTCGTTCGGATGATATCATATCAAATATCCATGATGTATAATAATTTTGTCATATTGAATACTTATTTCTTAAAACTTTTTTCTTAAAAATATACCAAAGAAATTACTGACCTCCCCTAAATGCATAATCTATGAAAAATCTTTAAATGCATGATCTTGTTTTCCCAATTCATATTCATATAATATTTTCCTCCTTAAACGATCCTTAAACGCAAAGCCTCTTTAAATGTAATATTTTTAAATGTTAATACTGTATTTTTAAATGTTAATATTTTTAAATGTTTGGCTATGCATTTAGAAAGATCTGATTATATAAAGCTAAAATTATCTCATTATCTCATTATATATATAAAACAAAAATAAAACTTGCCAGAGATTGGTACAAAAATAAATTGTATGAGTGCTGTCAGGTACATAATACGGATAATACGGGGTGCTTAAATTTAATTTTTTTT